CCCCCCCCAGGGATGCAAAGGGGATGCAGAGCTTCCTGTGAAATCAGACTGTGCTCCTCTTGCTGCTCGCGCACTGACAGCCTGAAGACCCAGCTCCCTTTCCCTTTTTCCCTTCCCAGCGTCTACCTTAGGGGATAACCATGAGAATGATATGAGAAAAAATTGTATCCAACTCATGGTAGATTCCATAACTATTAGTTCCCCCTTCCATTTATAACTCCAAACTGAGTAAATAAATACATGATCTCTGATGATTATGACTCATATGCTTGTTCTTAGGGCAAATAAGTAAAGATCCCAAGGATAGATTAGCTGCTAGCCTCCCTCCACCGCCCTTTTGAGCTGTATTTTTTGCAAGTTGTACAAAAGAAAAAATAAGTGGTGGGGTGATGGAGGAATGGTTTGGAAATTTTTAAGCACCAGAGCAACTTTATGAAAAGATTTGTTAAAGTATTAAGATTTACAAAATAGTCACGATGGCACTTATTGTGCCCTTCCTAGCAAGTCTCAGACACCACAATCTTTAAGTTCCTTTATCTTTATTGTTGAAAATATACATATGTCTCCTTTTTACTCCCATTTATCCCCTCCACCCGGCATCCACACCACCCCCAGACCAATGTGTGTGTCCATGCGTTATGCCTACAAACATATAAATTCTTTGATTAATCTCTCCCCGCCAACTCCTCCATTCCCACCTTCCCTCTGAGATCCCTCAGTCTGTACCATGCTTCTATGTTTCTGGATCCATTTTGTGCGTCAGTTTATTTTGTTTATTACATTCTACATATAAGTGAGATCATGTGGTACTTGTCTTTCTCTGGCTGACTTATTTCACTTAGTGTAGTACTTTCTAGTTCCCTTCATGCTGTTCCAAGGGATAAAAGATCTGTCTTTTTTACAGCTGCATAGTATTCCACGGTGTAAATGTCCAGAGCTTTTTTTCCCCAAACATCTACTGATGGGCACTTGGGCTGTTTCCAAATCTTAGCTATTGTAAATTTGCTCGGCTATGAACATAGGGGTGCATAAGTTTTTGTTATTGGTGTTTTGGGTTTCTTAGGATATATTCCTAGAAGTGGGATCACTGGGTCAAATGGCAGGTCAATTTTTAATTTTTTGAGGAACCTCCATACTGTTTTCCATGGTGGCTACACCAGTCTGCATTCCCACCAGCAGTGTACTAGGGTTCCCTTTTCCCCACACCCTCCCCAGCACTTGTCCTTCATTGATTTGTTGATGATACCCATTCTGACAGGTGTGAGGTGATACCTCACTGTGGTTTTAATTTGCATCTCTCTGATGATTAGTGACGTTGAGCATTTTTTCATATGTCTCTTGGCCATCTGTATGTGGTCTTTGCAGAAGTGTCTATTCAGGTCCTTTTGCCCATTTTATAATTGGATTATTTGTCTTCCTTTTGTTAAGTTGTATGAGTTCCCTACATATTTTTTATATTAACCCTTTATCAGATGTGTCATTGGCAAATATGTTCTTCCTTTTTGTTCTGTTGATGGTTTCTTTTGCTGTGCAGAAGCTTTTTATTTTGATGTAATCCCATTTGTTTATTTTCTCCTTTGTTTCTCTTGCCCTAGAAGATGTATTGGCAAACATATTGCTATAAGAGATGTCTGAGATTTTGCTGCCTATGTTTTCTTCTAGAATTTTTATGGTTTCATATCTTACATTTAAGTCTTTTATCCATTTTGAGTTTACTTTTGTGTATGGTGTAATTTGATGGTCTAGTTTGTTTTTTGTTTTTTGGGGTTTTTTTGCATGTACATATCTAATTTTCACAAGACCATTTGTTGAAGAGACTGTCTTTACTCCATTGTATGTTCTTGCCTATTTTGTCAAATATTAACGGACCATAACGGTGAGGGTCAATTTCTGGGTTCTCTGTTCTGTTCCACTGATCTATATATCTGCTCTTGTGCCAGTACCAGTCTGTGTTGGTTACAGTGGCTTGTAGTATAACTTGATATCTGGTATTGTGAAGCCTCCAACTTTGTTCTTTCTCAAGATTGACATGGCTATTTGGGGTCTTTTTGGGTTCCATATGAATTTTCGAAGTGTTTGTTCTAGATCTGTGAAATATGCTGTTGGTATCTTAATAGGGATTGCATTGAATTTATAGATTGCTTTGGGTAGTATGGACATTTAAATGATGTTAATTCTTCCAATCCATGAACATGGTATATTTTCCATTTGTTTTTGTCTCCCTCTATTTCTTTTTTCAGTGTCGTATAGTTTTCCGAGTACAGTCTTTCACATCTTTGGTTAAGTTTATTCCTAGGTATCTTATTTTTTAGTTGCAATGGTAAATGGGATTATTTTTTTAGTTTCTCTTTCTGAGAGTTCATTATTGTTATATAAAAATGCCACCGATTTCTGGGTGTTAATTTTGTATCCTGCTACCTTGCTGAATTCATTTATTAAACCTAGTAGTTTTTTCGTGGAGTCTTTAGGATTTTCTATGTACAATATCATATCATCTGCAAATAATGACAGTTTTGTTTCCTTCTTTCCAATTTGGATGCCTTTTATGTTTTCTTCTTGTCTAATCGCTNCAATTTGGATGCCTTTTATGTTTTCTTCTTGTTCAAGCACTGTGGCTAGGACTTCCAGCACTATGTTGAATAAGAGTGGTGAAAGTGGACACTCCTGTCTTGTGCCTGTTCATAGAGGAAATGCTTTTAGTTTTTGTCCATTGAGTATAATGTAGGCTGTAGGTTTGTCATATATGGCCTTTATTATGTTGAGGTATGTTCCCTCTATTCCCACTTTGCTGAGAATTTTTATCAAAAATGGGTGTTGGATTTTATCGAATGCTTTTTCTGTGTCTATTGATATGATCATGTGATTTTTGTCTTTCAATTTGTTTATGTGATATATCATGTTTATTGATTTGCAAATATTGTACCAGCCTTGCATCACTGGAATAAATCCCACTTGGTCATGATCTTTTTAATATATTGCTAGATCCAATTTGCTAATATTTTGTTGAGGATTTTGGCATCTATGTTCTTCAGGAATATTGGCGTGTAATTCCCTTTCTTTGTAATGTCTTTATCTGGTTTTGGAATTAGGCTAATGCTGGCCTTGTAAAAAGAGCTTGGAAGCATTCCTTCCACTTGGATTTTTTAAAATATTGTTAGGAGGGTAGGTGTTAATTCTTCTTTGAATGTTTGGTAAAACTCCCCAGTGAAGCCATCCAGGCCAGGGCTTCTGTGTGCTGGGAGCCCTTTGATTACTGCTTCAACTTCATCAGCAGTTATCGGCCTATTCAGGTTTTCTGACTCTTCTTAATTGAGTTTTGGAAGTTTGTATTTTTCTAGGAACTTGTCCATTTCATCCAGGTTGTATAGCCTCTGTTGGGTCAGTTGTTATTTCACCTCTTTTGTTTCTCATTTTGTTTATTTGGGCCCTCTCTCTCTCTGTTTCTTGATGAGCCTGGCTAAAGGTTCATCCATCTTGTTTATCTTTTCAAAGAACCAACTCTTGGTTTCATTGATCTTTTGTATTGCTTTTTAGTCTCTATGTCATTTATTTCTGCTCTGATCTTTATTATTTCCTTCCTTCTACTTACTTTGGATTTTCTTGTTGTTCTCTTTCTAAGTTTTTAAGTTGTAGTGTTAGAGAGTCTATTAAAAGTTTTTCTTGTTTTTGGAGGTAGGCTTGTAGTGCTATGAACTTCCCTCTCAGG